CCACTAGTACTACTAGTACTACTAGCACTACTAGTACTACTGCTACTACTACTACTACTACCACCACTACTACTACCACCACTACCACCACTACCACCACTACTACCACTACCACTACCACTACCACTACCACTACCACTACCACTACCACCACTACTACCACTACCACTACCACTACCACTACCACTACCTACCACTACTACCACTACCACTACCACTACCACTACTACTACTACTACTACTACTGGTACTGGTACTGGTACTGGTACTGGTACTCGGTACTCGTACTACTACTACTACTACTACTACTACTACTACTACTACTACTACTACTACTACTACTACTTGAACCGTGGAACCGTGTGCCACGGTTCGGGCTCCACGGTTTCACAATTGAACCGTGCAACCGTGGGCCACGGTTTGGGCTCCACGGTTCGGGCTCCACGGTTTCACAGTTGAACCGTGGAACCGTACGCCCGTCCGCCACGGTTCAACCGTGGAACCGTACGCCGCGGTTCGGGCTCCACGGTTCCACGGTTGAACCGTGGAACCGTGTGTCACGGTTCGGGTTCCACGGTTCCACGGTTGAACCGTGGAAACGTGGGCCACGGTTCGTCGCAGAGCGATATGCTTGGAAATGGGAAAGATCACAGTTAAGTCCCACAAACAAGACGTGTGAGAAGGAGAGACCGAATACAGTTAATAGAGATGAAGCTGGAGTGGGTTCTCGGGTCCGGGGTCTGAATCGTGATCACACCAGGTCCAAAAAAAAATAGCGCAACAAGACCGCGACGGTATGTTTAATGGAACCCATTTCTTTGAGGGCGACATCTGACAGAACAGCTTCACCCATTTGCAGCAAGACCTACAGGTCTACCAAAAGAGACACGAACAAGTGAATACATGTCAATTGCAAACCCGTCGGAAACCAGGCACCGTCCACGAGATGAATCAGGAAGAATGCGCCTCAGCAGGACGAAGCGTGTGAATGCAACGGCAAACACAATGAAGACAAAACCATAAACCAATGACATGCCTCCTCAACCACAACCCTTGATGGCGAGAGCGAAAGAAACAGAAAGCACCCTATCTGTGGCCAAACCTAGCATAAGAAGTTACGAGTACTTTCCAGACACAGGTGTGGTTCACCAAAGCAAGAATCCTAAATCGAAGATTCATCATTGGTGACCTTTCTTCGAGTGATCCCCACCATGAATGTCATACAGATTTTGACATTCTTTCTGGCAAAACTTTCTGGCAGGGAAGAGGAGGAGAGGACAACTCTGATGAAATCTAGAGACCTTCGGTCTCTAGATTTCATGAGAGTTGCCCTCTCCTCCTCTTCCTCTTGGCATTCTATCTGGCATTTTCTCTGACATATGCTCTGCAATTCTATCTGACATATGTTCTGACATTCTATCTGACATGCTTTCTGGCATTCTATCTGGCGTTCTTTCTGGCATTCTATCTGACATTCTATCTGGCATTCTATCTGGCATTCTATCTGGCATGCAGTCTGGCATTCTATCTGGCATTCTTTCTGACATTCTTTCTGCCATTCTATCTGGCATTCTTTCTGGCATTCTATCTGACATTCTATCTGGCATTCTATCTGGCATTCTTTCTGGCATACTATCTGGTATTCTATCTGGAAATCTATCTGGCATTCTATCTGACATTCTATTTGGAATTCTATCTGGCATTCTTTCTGGCATTCTTTCTGGCATTCTATCTGGCATTCTATCTTGCATTCTATCTTGCATTCTATCTGACATTCTATCTGACATTCTATCTGGCCTTGAGATCCGGCAGTGCCGACTGGGATGTGGAGCTCGCCGTTCAGGCCGGGTAGTGCCCACTGAGATCGAGAGCTCGCGGTTGAGGTCCGGCGTTGTTGACTGGGATCGGGAGCTCGCTGTTGAGGTCCGGCAGTGCCCACTGGGATCTGGAGCTCGCGGTTGAGGTCCGGCGTTGCCCACTGGGATCTGGAGCTCGCCGTTGTGGTCCGGCGTTGCCCACTGGGATCTGGAGCTCGCCGTTGAGGTCCGGCAGTGCCCACTGGGATCCGGACCTTGCTATTGAGGTCCGGCGTTGCCCATTGGGATCAGGAGCTCGCGGTTGAGCCCGGCGTTTCTCACTGGGATCGGGAGCTCGCCGTTGAGGTCTGGCAGTGCCCACTGGGATCTTGAGCTGGCAGATGGGAGGCAGCGGGAGGTTTTCCACCCCCCCTCCGTCCCCCCCGCGCAGCCATGGTAAAATCTAGTAACCCTCACCTGGCAGGTGGAGAAATAAGTCCAACGTTTCCGGTCATGGCAACAGGCCACATAAACTGAGAAAAGCCAAAAAAGAAATCAGAAGACTATCTTCCAGAACGAAAATATTGACAACAATCAGGTACACATGAAACCGTTACTTCTGATCTCACACACAATCCAAAGCACCCTTTTGAAACAAGGCTTCGCGATGTCGTCCCCTTCTTGCAGTCATCCTGCGGCAATGGCCTCGCAGAGCGACATGCTTGGAAATGGGAAAGATCACAGTTAAGTCCCACAAACAAGACGTGTGAGAAGGAGAGACCGAATACAGTTAATAGAGATGAAGCTGGAGTGGGTTCTCGGGTCCGGGGTCTGAATCGTGATCACACCAGGTCCAAAAAAAAATAGCGCAACAAGACCGCGACGGTATGTTTAATGGAACCCATTTCTTTGAGGGCGACATCTGACAGAACAGCTTCACCCATTTGCAGCAAGACCTACAGGTCTACCAAAAGAGACACGAACAAGTGAATACATGTCAATTGCAAACCCGTCGGAAACCAGGCACCGTCCACGAGATGAATCAGGAAGAATGCGCCTCAGCAGGACGAAGCGTGTGAATGCAACGGCAAACACAATGAAGACAAAACCATAAACCAATGACATGCCTCCTCAACCACAACCCTTGATGGCGAGAGCGAAAGAAACAGAAAGCACCCTATCTGTGGCCAAACCTAGCATAAGAAGTTACGAGTACTTTCCAGACACAGGTGTGGTTCACCAAAGCAAGAATCCTAAATCGAAGAAGGTAGATCCAAACAGGTAAAAGCCAAGGATCAAACAACACACAGACTTGTATGAGTACGCAGCACACAAGCATGGTGTGCAAAAGTTATGACCATGGCATTCATATCTTGTGTATTGCGTGGGTACCCGTCGCAACCAAGGCACTTTCCCAAGAGTTCTGAGAGCACAGAGGAGCTGACAGACAGCGTTAGCGCAGACCCGTCGCAACAAAAATCCATGGACAGCGCTGCGAAAACACAACTATGCAGCAACTTCGAAAAAAACACTGCGGCGAGAACCAGCACCTTTCTGCAGCAAAGACAAAAAAACGTCCTTTTCAAAAAGGACCAAGCAAAAGACTCCAGGAGTCTCTAGGTATATATACATATAAGGGGATTTCACTACAATCAAGAGTAATTTCTTCCTATTCGAGAGTCAATGAGTAAGCGAGGTGTATGAAATATATGATGTTGCAGGGGTCAAGACTGCAAGAGTTCGCTCGCGGCCGCCCGTTTTCCCAAGATGATTTCATGTCATCCCAGCGCTAGGTCCTGGTCACCTGTGCTTGTCGCTCGAAGTTTCAGTTTCATTGATACAACATTTATGGGAAAATACTTTTTTTTTTAAACACTATTATGGTTCAAAATTGCAAACGGTGGCCGTTCAAAATTTGATTTGGCGCTCAGACCAATCTGACAACATGCCCTGCATCCATCTCCAAGTCATCTTTGAAGAAGTAGAGCGGTTTGCCTAAGAGTACAAAATCCTTCAAATATAGTTGGAATTTGAAATGCCATTCAATCCATCTTTGAATGATACAGTATTGAATGGGTCATTCTTATTTGATACCGAGCAACGAGGCGAGATTTCCTTAGCCAATGGCGGCACACCACTGATAACAAATAGTCAGTGTTATTGCAACAGAAATATTGCAACATTTTTTCAAATCAGAATCCTGGATAATGTACCTCCAAGCGACATTGCTCTCTTTGGTGTAGATCACACGCCAAGCCTTCAAGAGGGATTTGGAGGCATCAAGTTCCTTAGTCACATTTCCACAAAAAGAACTACTGTGACCCACTTTCGATTGAGCCATGGATAGACCACACGGTCTTCAATTAGCAGGTGCACAATTGAGGACCGTCCGAGGGGCGGCGGCTGTGAAGATGGAAGCTGCATTCGTGTACTTGTAGTTGCTGGTGCACTCTGTGAAGCCGAAATACATCATGGTCGGCTTTGGTTTGACAAGGTATGGCTGAGGACCTAAATAGGGGAGAGAGCCATACACTCATGCCACTGAGAAATGTTCAGTTACTGACACCATTGATTAAGAGATTAAACATCCAATGGATTGTTGGGCCCCTTACCTTGGCCAACTTCAGCAGCATGCGGGGCATGCATGTCATGGGAGTTCAACGTTGTATCCGTGATCCCAGCATCCTCAAGTTCCTGTAGAAGTTGTCGGAGTGTGGTCTTCTCACTGTCCGTGCTCCCTTTCCCCGATTCGTCAGGAACTTCGAGGACAACTTCCTGCTGGTCCGTGGTCCATGCCACAGGCCAAATCCGGGACATCTCACCTGCCATGCGGACCCGTGGTTTACAACACTTCTTGCACTTCTTATCAAACAATAGGGGTTCTCAGAAAAGAATGGAACAGCGCAGTGAAGCTGCAAGTTTGTTTTTTCCCCTTTCTTGAGCGAACCACTGGTGTGTCAAGTGGTGAAGCTTTCCTCAAGGATTTCCCTGGTAAATACCGTAAGATCTAAAGTGAGATTTGGTAGCGCTTCCCAAAGTCAGCGCCATTGCCATCCGCAACCTGCCCTGAAACAGCAAGCTCGTGCCTTTATATAGCTTATTTTGATGGAAATTTGAAAACATTCTGTTGGACATCAAAGGTTGCGACACCCAAGATTATAGGATCACTGTGGACCCATTACCCATTTCTCAAAAACTTAGAAGTCACTCAGACTCAGCAGGTTCACCATCAGTGACGTCATCATCCACTTTCTGGGGGGGGAAGTCATTGAGAGCATCAGAAGCGATATGTCCTTCGTCGGCAGGACCCTCGGCGTCCTCGGCAATTTCTTCATCTTTGGGCACCTTGCGCTGTCGCTTGGACGGAACCAAACGTCGGCGGGACAGCTCCGAAGGTGGCAAATTCTTCATGTTGTTCACACGCTCCGGGTGGGTCTGCCACCTGCAGTTCACGGGGTTGACAATTAGAAATTGTTGCTAGCAAATGCACCATTGGTGGAAAAGTTGGACTTCAACGAGTCAAATCCTCTAACAAATAATGATGACGGTTCTCATGACTAATGAAATCCTTTGATGTTGAATCTCAGTGCCGGACTCGGCCCGGGCCATACCCAAGATCTCATACTTGCTCTTGGTGGGATTTTCATCCGTCAACCTTTTTTTGGACTCCGCGATGTGCTTCCAATACACATCCCTCATCCCCACACGTCCAAGAGCCCCGCTCTTCTTTGGCTCCTGGCAGTGGAATGTTTTCTTGAAACAAATAAATTGCAAGAGAGAAGAAAGGAAGCAACATGTTCCAAGCCTTCTTCTCCTCTTCTTGGTCATCCTTTGCTTTCTCAGCCTTTTTGGCCTTACCCTTCTTGGTGTTCTTTTCCTGCTTGGTCTCTTTGCTAATCTCAGCAGCTTCCTGACTATCATCCGTCTTCGACGGTTCTTTCTCGGTGTGGATCTCTTCCTCCCCTTTGGGGCTTTCCTCACTCTTGTCAGCTTTTGAACCCTTGGATCCCTTACTTGGCTTCTGCTCCTTTGTCTGCTTTGCGGCTGGTGGCTTGCGCTTGGGACGAGCCACAGCAGGCTTGGCAGGCACTGTGTTGCTGTCGTCAGCTTCCTCCTGCTGATCTTCCTCTGCTTCCTTCTTGGCTTTCTTGCTGGTAGGCTGCTTTGCCTTAGGTTCTCGACCCCTTTTCTTTACATCTGGCTTGGCTTTGGCTGTGTTTTCTGGGGATGCGTTTGCATTGTTTTTTCCATGAACTGCTTTCTGGACGGCATGAGCCAATAACGACTGTGGTGCAACGGGCGGAACTGCTGCAGTGGGCGGAACTGCTTCAGCAGGAGCAGGAGGGTTCTTCTCTTGGGTTGTCACATCCTCCACCTGCACAGGGCGGGGGATAGGAAGATATGAGTGGAATCTTTCAAGACGGAACCACAGACATAAGATATATTTTGTTCAGGGGTTAGAAGGCAAAGGAACAAAGCCGGCCTGTTCGTCAGCTGACTTTCCATTGCTTTCTTCCTCCGACACATTGGATTCAGGCTCCAATGGGTTCTCATCGTCCTCCTCTTCGACTGGTTTTTTTGCTTTGCTCTTGGTGGCCATTTTGGCCTTTGCCTTTGCCTTTCCCTTGGCTGCGTTCTTCCTTTCGGGCTTGGCTTTCTGCTTTGCAGCCTCAAGCCGCTTGCTAAGATCTTCCCTCTTTTGTTTGCTCATATCTGGGTCGTTGTTGGCATTGGTGCTTGCAACAGTCATCGGCATCAGCGTGCTAGGTGGTGGCCCGGCTTCCCCCTGGGCTGGCATGACGATTGCAAGCTCCGTTTTTCCATTCTTTGGGGCCTTCACACCTTCATCACTTTTCTCACTGGGTTCCGGGGCTGGAGCTGAAGATTCAACAGTCTTGAGCACTGACTCTGTAGTCTCACTATGTGCTGGCTCGGCTGCTATAGTCGTAGCAGACTCAGCAAACTGGACACGGAGACTCTTTGGTGCGACGTGTTCTTCAGCTAGTGCTGACCTTCGATCCTGCAGCAAGATGCAAACAGAACGGATGTAAACGGAAAGATGCTGATAGGTTTAACCTTTGAAAGTAACTGGAACATTGATTTTCTTGGCGATTGGATTGGTTTCCGGCTGATTCAGCATGGACAGTGACCAAGGTAAATTGGCCTTGCTTTCCTCCTTCTGGGCTGATAGCTGTGGGCTCCTCAAAGCAGGGACCTGGCAGGAAGTGACGAACCCCAGTTTATATAAAAATATGTCAATTGTCCAACTGATATGCCAAAATTGTGAAACACAAATTCCTGGGACAAGAGCTCTGGGCGATGGAGTTTCAGCGGCAGCAGGGCTGGCATCGACCATGGCCTCATAGTCCTGCAAGTTCCAAACACTAGCAGGGGATGGAAAAGAAGGGGATGGAATATAAGGACAAATATGGACAGGTATCTATGAGTCTTAATTACATAGGAGGGCATGGTTTCGAAACATGTCCAAGTTGTATTTCTGAACATCTTCTTTTTAAATATGATTGGGCAGTCCTGCCCGAAACCATGAGAGGCAAGAAGGCGCTCTATAGACGACACAGTCATATCTCACCTGGGTTCAAATCCAACACTGCCAGGATTAGCTTACTGGATCCTTGAGCCAGCAGCGGAGCAGCTTGGAACTTTCGAAGGCAGCTGGGATCAGATTGGAAGTGGAGACCATTCT